GTTTAACAGGTCTTAACAGTGTCTCATTGATAGTTACGATTATGCTTGACTGAATATTAGCTGTTCACTATCATTGGAAAGGTTAATGAGCCACCGACGGCTATTTGAGTGGAGCCGTTATTTCTTACCAAAATCGAAAGTCACCTATACCGGTAGCTATGCATGCGCTCGCATAATACTGTGGAAACGCTTTTGGTGATTTGAAATAGCTTCTGATGAGAATTGGGTTAAAAATTAAAATTAAGGGATTATTCGAGATTTCTGAGAAGAACTAAACCTAAAATTTGGGACAATCGAATAACATTTGTGCATGTGTAATGATGATGTAACCCAGGTGATGTAACATAATTTCTCCTTCACATCATGATGATGTTCTTCTTTCAAATATGTTATAGCTCTGATTCTTTTGATTTTGTGATGATCTAAAGACCTTACCATAGTACTTTTGTTTCTATTCCCTTGATTCATCCATGACTTGAAATCTCTACATGCACGACAGGGCTTTTTACGATGCAGAGGAGACATGTCTTCGTCTGCCATCTTAACGGGGAATAATCAATACGTCATGTAAGAGCACATGACACAGCACTAACGAACAATTTATGCGCCCGCGTTCCTTAGTACTGGGCAAACGGTAACAAAGGGCGGCTCCGACAGATCTTTGAGTTAGCTTTATGCCTTCCAATAATCATTATCCTTATTTTCTTCTTGGGGTTTACCTAACGCTATTAAAACCCACAAAATGTTAGGCTTTCAGTTGTATCACCACGGTCTCTTGGTATCTCGTTGCTCCACGACCTTGTTTACGTGAAGCTAACGAAGCAAGTAACCAACATGTCACAGCCTTCAACTACAAATGTCCTTTTATCCTTCTTTTCTCGAGGGTTAAGCCGATAAAAATTGACCGCACTTTTACACGCATGCCATTGTGGACGTTAGCCGACGTCAATTTTCTCAGATTTGCATGACGACGCTATTTATGTACATCACGGTAATTGCGCAGTTTCACTTTCTACGGATAAATTATACGCGTGTGTGCACGTTATGTATCGGTAGCAAAAGTGGGGCCAAGATATATAGATGTAAGTTATCTTCACACTCCCAAATTATATTTTAACCCTAGCCCTGTCGGATCTTCATTGTTGCGTAATTTCATCTACATGCGTCAGCGGCCATTTGTTTTTTACCTTCCTCACCTGAACAGAGGAGAGAGTACCCACATTAAAGATATATTCCCGTAATTGATCTCTGCATAGTTCATCTTATCATATTTCGCTAAATGAACTAAATATGCAAAAGTGTGTTTTTATATAATGTAGATACGTGAGACGCGTCTGGGGAAAGAGCGGGAGTAACTTTTGTCCAAAAATAATTCAAGGTGTTCGTGCACCATTGTATTCTATTTTTCGCGCTTTAAACACTGCCGCACGATGATGTTTACGGCAGTGAAGCTCAGCCTTAAGTGTGTCTGAAAATTCTAAGAAATTTGATATATCACGGGCGACTCAATGTGGCAGCAATTTCTCCTCAGTAAAATATTAGTCAGTAATACACCTTCTCATAAAAACTTCCGTCGTTTCTGCAATAACTTTTATGGTGAACTTAAAACTGTTGACATGGTAAATGATTCAATTGTTTCCCAACACTTAAACGCAGGATAAACTCGCCAATTTTTTTCTAGAATGAAATTGACACCCGGTAAGCATCATTTTTTACCACTGCCTAAATAGAGCGGGCAGAAGTCACTTATTTGTATGAAAAATCTAATGATTAAAATATTTTAAAAGAGATTTGACGCAAACATTTGAATAATAACCGAGATAAACACTTTCCACAATACAAATTAAATAGACTTTCAATTGTCTGTACACCAGCAGCTGCTGCGACAAGCAGACGCAACAACCATTTAAGTTCGAAACTGATATGCATCGGCAACCTAATTAAGGGATGTTTTATAAATGGGCAGTCTGTGTACGTATATATAATTTCGATCTTCTTCTCGCTGGAGGACACGTAATAAAACGACAGCGTTTGTAAGTGAAAAAAGCAATACATGTATTTTTTTCGCGCAAGCCGGTTTAACCAAATTAATTTACCCAAAATAAAGAGAATATTAATTAATTTGAAATTTTTTCGCAAATATTCGTTTTGTGTGAATATGATTCACGCGCGACATTTTTGGCCGACTTCCCTGCGGCAACCATTGTGAAGATTTTACCCAAACTAGCAAAGATAACAGAAAAATCTTTGCGTTCTGTAAGCTACATCTACTAGTTATCATATCTACACTTCCTTATTCACAGATAGTATCGTTACCTGACTTGTTTCGCAACTTATTTTGTGGGCGTAGAACAGTAGTAATGGTAGTAATGGTAATGTAGTAATGGTATATTCGTAAGTTTGTAAGCGTGGCTGCAGCACTGAA